TATATATATATATATATATATATGTTCCTAAACAAATGTTGGCATTAAATTTAGAAAGGCTTATATTAAAGCAATTTTAAGCACAACATGATTATTATGATTAATTTTAAGTTCATTTCAAAGGGCAGATGTATCTGACTTTGTTTTAACTCAATATAATTGCAGTTTATTTCCTAAAATTCATTTCCTCAAATTTATTCATTTCTAACTGCTCTCATAATTGATTAAACTATTTTCAATATTTTGATTATGTAAATGAATATAAGATTGCCAATCAATATGGATAATTTTATTATCATTATTATTATTATTGTATTTTTATTGTTACTGTGATTAATTGCTATAATTAGTAAATAGTGAAGTATTGTGACAAAAAAATTGAAATAAAAATTAAAAGAAAATTCATTTAAAAAAACTCATGCATTATAAAAGCAGAAAACAAAAGTTTATCTACTGTCGCAATTGATATGAAAATTATAGAAAAGAGCATGCTTACATACTCAAACTACTTTTATTTTATACCATTTACTTTTGTTCCATCTGAGTGTGTAGTCTTTTTATTTATTGCTTTTGGCATTCTAATTTTCTCCTTACTTTGTAATAATTTTTATATAATTATATTTTTTATTTTATTCAGAAACTTAACAGAAGTTATAAAATTTGCTGGATTAAAAAATTATTAATATACTGACGTAATTATGCATGCTAAAACCTATTAAATACATTTTATTTTTGCTATTAGTACTTTCTCAATTTTCATTAATGCATTTGTGTCTTGAGTGCTTTTTTACCACAAAAGTGCATTCTAACTTTATTTCCCAAAAGATTTGTCTTTTTTTGGCCTGATAAATAGTTTTCACCAAAGCTTTCAACTACTATTTCTTATAATGAGATTCATTAATCAAAAGGAAGCAATATTAATTTATCAAACCAAATATTATAAATATATGCGTAAATTACAATCAGTATTACTAACAGAATAAGAAATTATTAAGCTTAGTGAATAACCGTTATTTTTTATGAAAACAATAATCTTGAAAAAACATTTATATGAGTTAAATCAAATGAGAGCCATATTAAGCACCAATCCATGGATTATAATAATTACTAACGTTAGTAAGAAGATGCTTAATATTAGAACACAAGCGTAATATTAGTCTCTCATCATTAAGTATTAATATTTTTAGTAAATTTTATCATAAACTATTGATGTTTTCAGTATATCTTACAAATTTATTATTGTAAAGTATTAAAAAAAAAATTGCATTTAGTATCAAGACACTAATGCTATTTGTATTCTGACCATATTTCTCACTATATTAAGATGTATAAAGACTACACTCGTTTTGAACAACGAATTCAACTTTTAACTTCAATTTTTGATGCATATGTGATGATTAATAAGCGAACAACGTAAACCAAAATTGATCGCATATTCGTGATCTCTTCGAATTTTAAACATAAAAGTGTGCAGCGAATAATGAAAACGAAAAAAAGAATGATTATTTTTGGTGTCATTTTCATTTGCTCTTTTTTTATGAGACAAAATAATTGAATGATGCGAAATGTTTGCAAGTTGTTAGTTTTTCTTTTCTTGTGGTCATTTTCATTTTTCCAATGAAACTAACCGAATGAATTACCTTGTTTACAATGTAAACACTATAATTTTCTATTTCGATTTCTATTTATTAATCACGACCATTGCGTCAATTCATTTGTTTGCACAATTTAAGCTTTAAGTACTGATTTTTTTAACTCAGTCTTCTCTTTTCATTACTTCTTTTCATTTCACGTTTGAATTTATTTTACATTTAGCAAAAAACCTTTTTTCCGTTTTCAATTTCAACTTTATTGACATATTTATTCGCAGAAAATTTGTGTGCCATGGTCAGCAGTATAAATATCACTTCCTTTAATACAACCTTATTTCTTTCCTTCATTTATTTTTTACCGTACTTTCATATCAAAGAAGTAAGTTACATTCAAATGAACTCACTAACGTAAAAAATCCCCTCTATGAAATTTATCACTGTTTACTTTTTATTTTTTTAATTAAAGTACATGCATGAGATTGAAATTTTACATTCAGTTCAAAGTATTAGAACGTTTTATGTCTTTTTCACCAAAAAATTTTCCCAAAACATTTGCTCATTTCCTTGTATTAAATTATTATTGAATATAACGAGTTAATATCTAAATTATTATTCCTTATAAGATGTGTCATATCATTACTCTTGTATTCAAATTTCTCTTTGCTAACTTCATCTGCGAATGCAAAATGAGTAGAATGTATTCAATATGCAGGTAAAGTTGGTATTCAATGGATGCTGGAGTTGCTGGAACATCTGATGTTACGTCTTCAACATTTTTAAGCAGAATATTACAGGTTATTTATTTTAACAAATAAAAAAAAACAGTAACACCAATCTAGAAATTTTGGGATTTGATAGACATAACACCGATTCTTATGCCTGATAATTTACCACGAAAATATTTATTGTAATCTTCAATATACTCTCGAAAAGTTTTACAAGCTTCCCTCCCCAATTATTATCTCATTCTGCATCAGATATATTTTTAGCACTGTTATTGTATGAAACATGTGTAAACTTGCTGAAACCTTATGGAAAATACAATAATTATTCATTTAAATATTTTTGCTCATGAAAAGAAGTTTCTGAGTATAATTAGAAACTGCCATATTAAAGTATTGTATATTACGGAATTTGGATAGATTCGCATAATTAGCGACCTTATTAAATGAATAAACTTTGAAAAGTTTATGTTAGCTGATTAAATCTGTTGAAAATCTATCTAATTAGTAAAACTGATTAATTATATGAATAGAATTATAACACATCGGATTACATTTTTTTAATTTAAATTTTTTACAGAATTTATGATTTTTAGATGAAATACTTGAACCTTATAACTAACAACGGTTCTTATTATAAAATTTATCAAAAACAGCTATTAAATTTGCCAAATGAATTGCAAAAATAAACAAATTTGAATGATAATTCGACTGAAATGTGATAGCTTGAAGTAACTGTATTTTTGTCAATCGTTTAAGATTGCATTAGGATTATTCGTGACTACAAGTAATTTGCCATTTCGTGCAGTAGATGAAAACATAATATTGGAAAATATAAGCTATAACTGTACATTTGACACTCCTTGTCCATGGTTTTCTGATGGATCTACGGTAGATCATTGGCGTTTAGCTCGAGGTCAACCAGATTCGTTTTTATGGCTTGCCTCTACGGGTTCTATTCAAAAACCAGGTTTAATAAGCTTTCATTTTTTTAAGACAAAGAAATTTAATGAAATGAGCAAAGATTATTTTAAATTCATTACATAAGTTTGAAATATTATACATTAAATTTATTAAAGAGGAACCATTTGCTCTGATTGAACTGCGCGGAAAAAAAGCAGATACTTTATTATCTGACAAAATACCTTGTGAAGATGGCACCTCAACATTATCGTTTACTTATTGGATTGTTGGTAAGATATTTTGAAAAGATTAAAATGAGTATACCAAAAGCTGTTATTTTTTGAACTAAAAATTTCTGATGAAGATTTTGAATTTATTATACTGTCAAAAATGATTACAGGAGGAGCCAATATAAAAGTATGCTTGGTCGATTTACAAGGAAAAAATTTCAATTGTACAGCAATGATTGGAGAACGATCGATGCCAAAAAAAGTTTCCGTCCCTCTACCCAAAGTTGATAGCTATTTTCGGGTAATTTTCACTATACCTAGAAAACTGCAGTAAATCATTTAAGTAAACTGTTGCATTATGCTTTGACTAATCTTAAGCAGTTTTATGCATTTCTTCATTAAATTTTAATAATTATTTGTCTTTATGACAGATTGCACTGATACCAAACACAGCTATAGGAATCATTGCTATAGACGATATCACTTATGATGCGAAACCTTGCGAACACCGAACTGTAACCACAATTTCCTCTCTAGCTGTGGGAAGCAAAGATATTAATTCTTTTCAAGTAAAGGAAAAAAAATTAATTTGATTATTTTCGTTTTTTTTTTCCGATTTTTAGATTGTTACAAAGTTTTGCGACTAGTGAAAGTACAAATTTTTTGCAGGTTACTAAAAATGAAATTACCGTTACTGATGAATGCACAGAAACAACAACACATACATCATTTAAATCCACGTATAGGTAATTTTTTTGAATAAATGAATCTAAAAAAGAGAAGTCTTGTTTTCTATAATGTACATTGGTCTTTAAGTCCGAATTCTAAGTCAACAGAGCCATCTTTCGACTTGGTAATTATTGGTAACAAAACAACTCCACTATTCGATCAACGTAGAGGACGTATTATTGCTAATGGTACAAACTTATTTTGTGATTTCACTAATGATTTTCCATGTCTTTGGGGACCTGAAAGTGGTCGCTGGGGAATCATCCATGAAGGTTTTTTTTTTTCTTTTTTTAAATTCAAAATATTCATCACGTGTACATCAGACCTTCTTAACTTCATGAATAAAATGCATTGAAGATTTTCCATATTACCATATTTTAGTCAAATAGCTATCTATTAATTTCTACTAATTGTCGTCAGAAAAGGTTGAAGAAAAAGTTTACTATCCGACAAAAATATGCTTATGTGAGCAATCTTTAAATTTTTTCATCTTCGTTTCACTCGACTTTGTATCATTTTTAGTTACTCAAAAATGTTTCAAGAAATTTCGCTTTGTACAAAATTATTGTTGATTTATTTAAATGGCGTTAAGTCATTACAGGAGCTTTGCCTTCATTAAGTACAAATGATAGTCAATCAGCTCCATCGTACCCTGCAGCTATTGTTATACAAGGAACAGCTATGCTGACAAGTGATCCACTGAAGTGTCAGACTGGCCCAGGAAAGGCAAAATTTATAACTTTAAAGATTCATACCATATAATAAATAGACTTTTACTCAACTCGTTGAGTAAAAAAGAATTCTAGGAATTTAGTAAGCTGATCTTATATAATCAGAAAAACTTGAAAACACTCATAGTAAATACTTCATAGTTGCACACATACTAATATATATATATATATTGATAAAACCTAATTGATTATACCAATTTGATTCGTGTTAATGTAAAAAAAATCCTATATGTGCAGTTAATGTTTCGATATTGGACAAATGGTTTACCAAAAATACAAATATGTGCGATTGGATACAGTTTTGGAAGTGAAATAGTAGAATGTGTTAGTAAAACGACTGAGGATATTGAATCTGTTAATGACCAATCTCTTTTGGTGTTTGATATCAAGAAGCCAATTCTCGAACCATTCACGGTTTATAATTAATTTTTCATATGTAAAAAACAAAAATTAAGAAAACATTGAAAAAAAAGCACTAAAATTTGTTTATAGATTAATATAATTCCAAAATGGCATGATTCTGCGCGTAATCAGTATTTAATCATTGATGAAATTATTTATCTTGGAAACTGCGACATAAACAAGCTCAGTAAAGAAATCCATGAAAAATCTAATAGCACCGTACGGTAATATAACTTTTGTATTCATTCTGTCATTGAAATCAGCTCATAATTTAAACATTCAAGCTAATAATATAACATTATTACAGGGTAAAACCAAAATCATATGGAAATTTTATATGGCCTATTGAAATGCACAAACTTGAAGTTGATGAGAAAAAAATGCATGTGTCACCATCAGCAACCGCACTTATCTCGGAATCGAAATGGACAACAACAATAACACCAAAAAAAGCTGCTTCTCAATCTTTAACTAGCAATTACTTTGGTTGCGAGTTACTGAACTGCAATTTTGATGGTTTGTTTTTGCCTTCTGTTATATTAAGGCATCTTGTTGACTACTGCAAGTCTATATCTATTAATTCAAAATGTTGGCAGGCATAGCTCAATGTATGCAGTGCTCAGCTACTATTAAGCCATAATCAGTGCTTGCAAATATTGGCTTAGTACTGAATAAGCCTAACATTTGCATTTAACAGTTTTTCATTTCTCCATGACAAATATTCAAAAGCAACATAATGTTAGCAACTTTAGGCTCTACAAAATATAAACGTTTTCTGTATTGAATAAAATTCTAAAATTTTTTACGCTTTGTAGTTCTTAGATTAATTAAGTGTACAGTAAAAGAACTACAATAAAAAACTTGCAATTTTGATGCATTTACATCAACCAATGAATAAATCTCATAAAAACAGAATTATAGCTTTCACAAATACAATTACTATTAAGCACACTATAAAGCATATAAATATTTTTCTTTTCTAAGTCTAATATTTACTAACTCAAAGCATAAGATAAAAATATGCAATTATTAGAAGTAATCATTCCATAATTCATATTATATGGTAGATAATGCGTGTAATTATTTGAATCACGGACTTACAAAAGTTCCATGGATGCTGCGAAATGGCGTATTTAGAACGTCTATTTTGGACTTTGCTAATATACCTACAAGTCAGTTTGCATCAACCTCTTTTTTTCCTTATCCACCTGAATAGTCCTGCGTATCCAGTACAAAACATAGTCAAAACAATCTTATTACTTACATTTTCAATGTAATGTATCAAATAAGAGTGGTCTCTGATAACAAATAGTAAATATCTACTTTCAGTTTTGCTTTTTTGATCAATTACATTGGTCAGTTCTTAATTTGTGACCAATAGGTTGATGTAATCAGAATTCGCAAACATAAAATAAAAAATCGTAACAAAGAAATATTTTCAGCAGCATAATGTCTTGACCTATTATTTCCTTTACACAGCAGTTCTGTGAGTAACTGATGTGAGAACTACGTCTTATTCCACTCATTTTAGCTTTGTCAGATGGTAAATTTATCAGTACAATATTATCACCAGGTCAATATGCCATACTAGAATCACCTTTATTCCAAGCTACTTCAGAAGCAAGCACTTTATTATTGAAGTACTACAGGTAACTAAGACTTTATCTTTCATAACAATATAAGAGAAGTCTTGTAAGCGGCTTAAATATTTATTTTGAAAATAATCACAAAAGATAATCATAGATCATCGCTGTATGCAACTATACGATTATGTGTGGATAGTAATCATACAAAATTTTACAAGAAAGTGTCAGACTTCCTTCAATGTCCATCAATTTTGCAAAAACAAATTTCTAAAAATACGCATAAATGGAGTTCCACATACACACGACTTCCAGCTGGCACCACCCGTGTTGGTTGTTTTTTTGATTTTCTAGATTTTGAATTTTGAGTAGCTGATAATTTTACTATTTATATTAAATTTGTATAATTTTAACATATTTACCTACAAATAAGTTCAATTAAATCAATAAAATTATATTATTCTACAGTTTTATCTGGTTGCACATAACTCAAATAGATCAGTAATCAACTCCGTAATTGCCATACATCATATCAAATTGGCAACATGCAATGCCGAAAATGATGCAACTGTTAAAACTAGCATTCATCAGAATTTACCTTCATCATTTCAATATTCAAACAGCATCTACCAAAGATGATACTTGTAAGTTTACTGAAAATTTTCACAAAAATTTCTTCCTTCAATTCTTGTGATATGGCTGCTCTTCGAAACATTGTCAAGAATTAAATGAATTCTATGTAGAAAATAAATTGTTCAAATATTTTACAAACTATAATGTTCTCTTTCTAATATTTTGATTTTGATTTCATTCGTTCATTTCATTTTTATGTAAATGTACACAATCTCAAAATGCTTTTATAACCACTAGAAGCCCAATTTTTTCTAGTTACTTATTAAAATGACTGCAACAAAAATTGCAAGAGGAAGAGAGACGTTACACTAAGAAGAATGAGGTTCATTTTTGCCATTATTAAATGCTTACCTCTTTGTTCCTAATTCAGAATTTTAAACATGACTGTGTAGCAGAAAATAGAATTAATATTACCATTCTTCTTGATAAACCTCATTTGTATCTTTCTATCTTGACTTTTTTGAATTAAAAAGAACAATTACAGAAAAAGACTATGCTTTAAGACTATGCCTTATGTGCAATGACTGAATAATGTAAAATAGTAAGTGCTAAACTCGACTGTTCTTATTTTTCTCAATTCTTGTGCCTTAGTGATTTAATAAAATATTCATTCATTTAAACATGTTTTTGCGATCTTGATATGCAGGATTTTTAAATATGACACCCAATACTGAAAACTATATCGGTAATATATCAAAACAATCGGATAATTGAAAAGGTATAAAATGCTATTCATTTCTAACAATATGGATTTATTGCTAATTATTACAGGCAGCAAGGCGTAAAAATTAGCAGTAAGTCCAAACTATTAAAATGAGCACCGTTATTTAAACCTCAGTACTGCTACTGATATTAAAACGACAAATATGCCATAAAATGTAGCAAAATATTATGCACTTGCGAAAAAGGCTGAAAAGAATTTTGTTAGCAAATCCGGCGCAAAAATTTTCTCCAATCTTATGACATTATTTTTTGCCTCTGAATTATTCTGATTTAGCTTTAAATTATGCCATACAAGTAAGAACTATTTACAGTGTTTTTATGTAAATAATTGAGTCTAACATACAACTAATGCTAAGAATCAATTTATTGCGTTTTGTTAAAAAATTAGCTAATGAAGCAGAAATAACTGCAGCGACTGAGGAAAGTAACTTTATAATGCAGTTTTTTAATTTGTGGTGCTATTGAGCAAATTTACTCTGATGATGGCGGAAATCAATAAGTTATGACGAAAAACGAGAGGTCACATGTAATGAATGAAAATTGCACGGCTACACTTGTCAGTCAATATTCAAATTTATAACAGTAGCGTTAATTCAAAATTTAGCAGCAACAAAGTGCAAATGTGTGCATTGGGTTGAGAAATGATTTGCAAAAAAAAAGTTTACAACGTAATAATAAAAGAGTGTGCAATACGTTTCAAGAGACAACATCTTGAAAGTGATGCACAGAATAGAGATATAGCGTAATGAACTTAAAGCTGTATTTCAGTGTTGAATGTTGCATTTGCATAAGAGGATTTGCTGTATTTAGGAGAGTGTTGGGCGGTGGTCAATAACTTGACATTCCTCTTCGAGATCGGTTGGACAAAAAGCATCTTCTGTGTCATGTCGTCTTCGGGATGTAATTCGGGGAAAACTGAACAGAAGGATGATGAAAGTGAAGTATCGGCAGGTAATGGCTGTGCTGCTGCTCATTATTCTTCAGATATAACGAATTTTGCTGATGCAACTTCACCTCCTCAGGCGTTCGATTATCCGTACCACCTTCAGAGCGGTAATTTTGCTGTTCTAGTTTTCAGCATACTTCTGATACAATTCAAAAACTTTCAACTCAGAATTGCTTCATATTTCATATGTATTGAAAGTATCATTTATTCTATAAACCGTTCATTCAAATTCTGTGCCTACGCTTATTATGAAAACTTTTAAAAAAAAGTTTTTTATAGTCATAACTTTTATCTTGTTAGTTTGTTAAGAAATGAATTGATCTGTTTATTCTAAAAATATGTAATGCTTATCTGTAATACGTACATAAAGATGAAAAATATACAGTGTTCGCATAAACGATATAGTTGCTATTCGATAATAAGAATATATTTTAGACATTCGTACTGTTGTTCAAAGACTCTTCCTGTATTGAACCATCTGCAATAAAGAGTGCAGATGATTCTCAAATTATAATTGTTAGTGCATACCCAAATATTCTGATAAAGTCAAAAGTTTACTGTAGGAAGCATAGTGGAACAAGGTGATGGATCTGAAGTAGTTAGTTCTTCTCATGCAGCAGGTACTTGCTCAGGGGCAAATTTAGGAGATCTTTGTACCATTCAAGGCGCGAATCATAGTAATTTGGCTTTAGTAAGTTCTGATTAGTAAGTTTTAAAGAAATAAAATCACTGAGGTTGAAATTTGAAGATGAATGTCTAGTTTTTTGATTTCAAAGTCTGCTTTAATGCATTTCACATCACAATGTATTTTCTAATAGTGGTGGCTTAAGCTAAATTATTTGAATGAAGAATTTCATTTTCACTTTACAAATCTTCATGTAATTCAGAAAAAATGTGAACGTTACAATACGAATTAAAGCATTATAACAATTAGGGTTTGCCGAGTACATTCGTTGGAGGTGCTTCGTCAGAATTTGAAAATGGCTATCCTCTTGTTGCTGACCTGCAACAGCTTCGTTTACAAGATGAAATTAACATGTCCATTGCACAAGTTATTGATCAGCAGGCTTTTCATCAAGTATGGGTATCCTTTTTTTTGCTCTGGTTCACTTTAAGATTTACGCCCTTTGCTTTCATTATATATGTAGTACAGGAAGATATGGACAATACTGATGGTCGATGGTGCATGTTAAATAGTCAGGAAAACGGGCCTTCCGTATTTTATGAAGAATCAGTAAGGAGAGATAATGCTGATACGACGGGAGAACAGATTGCTGCGTAATTTAATGATTTTATTAGTTGATGATATTTCGTATTAGTTTCAGTGCCTCTAATTACTTTTTGCTACTCTCAGAACATAATCTATAAGATGAATTTTAGTTCCCTGCTGGATAATGTAAACTCGGTCATCCAAAATGATTTACCACTCGATTCAGATGGTCAGCAAATAGCTAACGTTGAAAATGGTACTTTAAATATATAAATCCTTATATATTCATGTGTTCAATAATTTTTCTTCAGTTACGCAATCAATATGAAATTAGTCAGTCTATTTGTATTTGTTTGATTGCCGTCAAACCTGATTTTGTAAACAAGAACATAGACCTGAATTTTTGCATTGATATTTATTGTTTATATTAATTGCTATAAAAAGTTGAAGTAGTTTCACCGCAACCAGATGATTCGGATGTTGGTTCGCATGAGTATGCACTTCACAATATTTCTTCTGTAGAATGTGTTATAGGCGAGATTCCAGGAAACGAAACCTCTGTTACAAGTAAATATTTCACTTCTCTTTTTCGGAATTGACATTTTTCATTTCCAAAAGAGCAAGAATTGTCAGATCAGAAATTGAAAATGCATATGCAAGAATGTGTTGGTGTAATTAAAAGTTGGATTTTTCAATGGGAGTGAAGGCGGAGAAGAATCTCATACTGGTTGGCAAGCGTCCAAAAGTACATTGAAAGAGCGTTTCGCATTTCTTTATTGCAATGAACTTCTTGCTGATGTTTGGTTTATTGTCGGTCATGATACACAATCGCAGGTTAGTTTTAATTAGCAGTTTTCAAATCCTTCCTGACTAGATGAGATCAGATTTCCATATGGTTAAGCACGTCTATTTTCAGAAAATTCCTGCTCATAGATTCATATTGGTAACTGGCTCAGCCGTTTTTGATACCATGTTTAATGGGCAAATGGCGAAGAGTTCAATTGGTAAATTTTATGTAATCTCTGCTTTATAGTATTTTGCATCATGTGGTAAAAACATTGAGAAACATAACGAAAAATCGTATTGCAGCAACTGCCTCAAAAATGAATCAAGTGATCAAGTTGCCTGATGTCGAACCTAGTGCTTTTCTAGCCTTACTGAAGTTTCTTTACACAGATGAAGTTTCCATCGAGCCGGAAACAGTAATGACCACTCTTTATACAGGTGAGTACTTTCTGAAATAACGTTATTTCCTGGTACTTGTTATTAGCGGTATCTTGTGTCGTTCAATACATGATTACGCGTACAAAGTAAATTTTTTTTTTCAAAATCGCGCAAATAGCATACGTGAATTGTTATAATTTAAGATTGGTATTAGATGTACACATAATTTTTAGCGAAAAAGTATGCAGTACCAGGCATGGAGCTTGCCTGTGTGGATTTTTTGAAACGAAATCTTGGTGCTGATAATGCTTTCATGTTACTCACTCAAGCTCTTTTGTTCGATGAACCGCATTTAGCTAGCCTTTGTTTGGATGTTATTGACAGGAACACACCTGAGGCTTTGAATGCAGATGGTCATTTTTTTTGTCTCTCGCTACTGTTATGTAATTTCTATTTAATTCATGATATCATACTATTTCTAATCATTAGTAACAAGCTAGTATTATTCAGTATTATTTAAGGTATATTGTACAGAGTCATCATTTAGGTTTCACGGATATCGATTTGGATACACTTTGTATGGTTTTGAAACGAAATACATTGCGAATCCGTGAAGCACCTTTGTTTGTAGCAGTACTTCGATGGAGTTCAGAAGAATGCCGTCGCAAGGCACTGACTGTCAACTCGGAGAATCAGCGAATGGTACTTGGCAGAGCGTTGTATTTAATTCGCTTTCCATTAATGACTATTGACGAATTTGCCCAACATGCAGGTAAACACTTGTATCTTCCAACTGAGTTCTGAAATATTTGTTTTTAATTAGCAACTGAATCAAGTTATTAGTTACCATTTGTATACCCTTAACTTTTTCAGCTCAAACGGGTATAATGACAGATAGTGAACTGGTCAGTCTCTTTCTTTATTTTACGGTAAATCCTAAGCCACAGACAGTATTTTTGGATATCCCACGCTGCTGCGTTTTCGGTAAGGAAGTAGTGGTTAGTCGCTTTCAGCGTGTTGAGGGACGTTGGGGATATAGTGGTACACCAGATCGTATCAAGTAAACTGGTTTTTCATTGTTAAGTACTAAAGTTAAAATTGGTGACAAATTCGGAATTTCTGATTTTCAGATGACTATCCTATTTCTTTTGATTTTTTCACCTCTTCTATTGTCTAGAGCCTTGAACATCTGATATCTAAGCTAGATTTATATTAATTTGTAAACTTGTTTACAAAATTAATATTTTCTTTCTCATTTTTTGAGGTAACATTTATGGAAGCTTTAGGTTTACAGTCGATAGAAAAATTTATGTTCTTGGATTTGGTTTGCATGGTTCAATTCATGGCCCTTATGTGTATCAAGTCACTATCCAAGTTAGATTTATACTAATTTTTAGATGTGTGCTTTCAAGTAATTGTTTCATGGTCCGCAATTTAACTTAATGTTTTCTATCATGTTTCAAGATTCTCCATTGTGGTACGGGTAAAGTTTTGGCAACAAATAATACTTCCTTTTCCTGCGACGGCTCTTGTGGAACTTTCAGAGTGCTGTTTAAGGAGCCAGTCGAAATCAATCCTTGTGTTACTTATATCGCTTCTGCACATCTGAGGGTAAAAAAAATTAGCTGAAGTTTCTGTTCCAGGAATATGTCTTTTGTATTATAATCTTGAATCAGACTTTGCTGGAAGAATTTCAGGGTCCTGACTCACATTACGGTACCAAAGGTTTGCGACGCATAGTCCACCAATCCCCTTCAACTGGAGTTGTGACTTTCCAGTTTACTTATGCCGCTGGAGACAACAATGGTACGTCTGTGGAAGATGGCCAGATCCCGGAAATAATATTCTGTACTAAAATTATCTAGTTATCGGAAGATGACTGTCTCGTCAGTTCCACTCAGTATTTTTTTTTGTGCCTTCGTTCTATCTCACAGAGTCCTTGTTACGATATTCAGCATTTATGTATTATTCTTAGTATCACTTCCCTGACCAATAAAACCTGAGGGTATAGAAATTCAAAAAATCACACTCGGGATTATTTCCCTTGCTTTCATCCTGATCCTTCTATAAGTCCGTATTCTCCGTCTTAAAACCAGAAAATGACAGTAAATCATTGCTTCCACCCTCTTTCAGGAACCTATGTCACCTCCAAAAATGATAGGACAAACCAAATCCTTGTTTGTTTTACATTGTATGGTTAACAATAAATGTTTCTTTTAATTGACCTTTCTTACTTATGCATTTTGGACTCATTCTAATCAGGAATCTGAGAAGGTAACAGACATTACTGACACCATGGATTCTCTCTCATTGAAATTCGACATTCTGCTGCGCAAATGTACATGGACAGATATTTCTTCAATTTTTTTAGAGAAGGAATGGTTTTTTTGTTTACCTAACTTCATGGACCCTATCAGTTTTCAGAATATCATATTACGAACAGTTTAGGACTGAGGAAAAAGAGAGAATGAACAACGTCAGAAAGATTATATTTAGAACAGCATAACGTAATACGCATACAACAAAAAGATTAAAAATCACGAAATTTGTGGGGTAAGGTACTTCAGGTTTAAGACATTATACAGTCTTCAGATCTGCTGGACATATGAATTATTTATGGTCCTTAAGTTTACTGAAATATTCTTTAGATTCATCAACGCTTGGTTTAATTGTGGGCTTATCATCTGACCAATTGGCTGGGCATACTTCACCATGTTTTTCTACAAATTGGAATGCTTTCAGAGTACGAAATGCTTCATCTACAGATCGACCAACTGGAAGGTCATTCACCAAAGAATGACGGATTTCGCCCTTTGGGTCAATCAAAAACAAACCCCTAAAAAATAAAATGAGCTGATGATTACGGAACACACTACTTGAACATGTAGTCTGGTTCTACATATTTTTTTAAACAATGTCTTCAATCTGAAATATTTTACCGATATGCGAAGCCGCTTTCATGATCAAGTACACCAAAAGCATTTGCTATATTTTTATTGAAGTCTGCGAGTAACGGTATCTGCAAAAAAAAAAAAAACTATTTGGTAACTAAAAGTGATTGTTTTAAATACGTAGAAAGATTTCAGATGATTACCAAAAATTATTTAGAAAATCCTGACCTGCATGTCTCCTAAGCCACCCTCACTACGTGGAGTTTGTGACCATGCTAAATGAGAGAAATGTGAGTCACATGAGCATGCAATTAATTCTGCATTTAGCTTTCGAAATTCTTCGGCTCGATCATTGAAAGCTGTGATTTCAGTTGGACAAACGAAAGTACTAAAAATAATATTACTTTAAGTACAGACAACAAATGAATCTTTAGCACATAGAAAGGAATGGTTGCGCACTCATAATCAAACCATGGGTCATTACACCATAAGGTGAAGCAACGCCACTGAGCTGCTGCATTTCCGAAAGTAGATATCCTACAAAACGAATAAAATCATAGAAAGACAAGATTTCAGACGACACTTTCAAAAAGTGTATACAACTAACAAGTCGAGAGGATAGAAAAATATTATCAGCCATTTTCCTTTATAGTCGCTCGGACTAATTGTTTTAAAATCACCATTCACAACAGCTGTACCCTGAAATAGCTTATGTACAGTTAGTATATAGACAGTATCACTGAATATCTAAGGTTCAAGTCAAGTTTTGAATACATACTTAATGATAAATACTTTCGATACATTCCATTTTGCATTCAGAAAAACATCATGAACACAAGCAAAATATTTATTTTACTTACAGACTGTATAACTTGATCATTTCCACTATAAAACCATTAAAATCAAATGCTCTACTATTAATACAAGCAAAATTCTAGAGATGAAAAATACTCAACACCCATCCGAAAATACTTGTTGTTCGTCATTTTTTAAATAATTGCTTCGAATGTCGTTTTAAAACGCCTAAAGTCTGGTAAAAATATAAAAATCTATTTCTTTCGCTGGGTACCTGATAAAAATTTATTTGAGCTTGAACTTGAAAATTTTGTATCGCTTAAAATATTAGCACACAGCGCAAAATAAGCGATTATTAAGTAGAAAACAATGCGAATAAGTAATATAGCAGAAATGTTCGCACCGAAAACTCAGGAACTTTGTTTTTTGGACCCAAGGGTCTAACACCGGCAAGTGCAGAACATGAAGTGGAGAAACGAGCTGCGATAGCACGTTGAATTGGTGATACAGATGTCTGAAAAACAAGAAAAAGTGAAGCTTTTCAAATGAAATAATTAAAGGTAATAAATATTCGCAAGACTTACCAACAATGAACGGATCATTTCGAACACTTCACTCGTTTATTATCGCTGAAACACCATGAATTACAGCAAGAGAGTTCTCAAGCAATAAACAAATTTGAAAAAGACATTACATTCGAGACATATATGAGTAATGCGTATTGGAATGTGTAAATAAAACAATCATAATCAATCCTTACAATAAAAGAAAAGTACTTCTTCCGATTTTAATAATGAACAAGAATTATATTCGAGACATCAATAACAAGACAAATAATCCCCTATATCAGACAGTTACACATCTTTTCTAGAACTTACTTCCTATTTAATACAGAAGCTAAACAATTATATATCCTCAGCAAAAAAAGTATCAAAGATAGAGTTTTTATTCCATAACACGCAGTTTAACAAAATACAGTAAAAACAGTCAAGTAATAAACAAAATAGTTACTAATAATTGCTATTTTGAACAAAGATTTTTTGATTCCTGTTGTTAGCAGACAGTAACCTTAATAACTCTAGACATTACATGCAGTACTAAACCACCACTTGTATAAGATATCTCAAATTTATATTCATACTCTTACTAAGCGCAGACTCCACAAAAACTTTCCAATTAATCCGTACGTACATTCGACGTAAATTAACAGCACAATTCCATTTAACCATTCTATTTACTCCTTGTTCACAAATATTATGATCTAGACAAGTTCCTTTGTTTTGTTTTAGATGTTGTTTCTTATCGTATTGGTATCTACATTATGGTATATCGGCATTTACACCATTGTCATATTAATATAACGATTGCAGAAACCGCATAAAACGAATATGGCAAAGTATAGCTAATAAATGTAAAAGAAGCCATGAATTTATTCAATGACAACAAAGCTGGTTTGATGAACATTGACAAGGCAAGCTATTTTTTATCAGAGCTAATCTAAGAAGAGATATGCTTTTGACTTAATTCTCACGTTTATTGAATTAATTATATGGTTATGCTTAACTCTTGAATTTTTGTTTAGTACAAGGATTATTAACTTTAGTTCTTACTGAGATGTTATTTGTTCTGTGTTAAAAGTGCGACAATAACCGCACCGCTACAAAATGTGCTTATATTCTTAACTGTTATATTTTGTTGGTAATTGAGAAATTGTAAGGGAATTGTACTCTGTTCTCAATTCATTTCATCTTCTTTCTGCTGTTAGAAAAAAACTTGAAATAGACAAAATGGTGCTATCAAAATGTAATAAAAAATGTAAATTTTGTTTTATATATAATATATGTACTTCCTAATATATGTATAATATATGTACTTCCTTCATCAAAGTGATTTCAATAATTTGAAAATGTTACAGGAACGAATTGAGAAAATTATCGACGAAAACACAAGCTCAGACTTTTATGGTCATACCAAAAAAAGGAAAGAACGAATTGATGCCAGAATCAGCAGCTATAAAGATATTATGGCAAAGCTTACCTTCAATCAAATAGCTGATGCTGAAAGAGAAGTTAGTTGTATTTCTGTCGTAATTCAGGTCATTTGCATTCAGACTAATCATTTTAAAAGAAATTGCATACTTTAGATGGATATATTAGTTGATTTGTTGGAAAAAGAACGTGATCTTTCTCATTACGCTGTTCATATTGATATGGATGCATTTTATGCAGCTGTTGAAATGAGAGATGACCCTTCGCTGCGTGATATACCTATGGCTGTTGGTTCCGATTCTATGCTTGTATGCATATTATTCTGTCAGTTTACTTAATCATGTAGTTATAAGTTTTTCACTATGATAAGACATTTCAAGAATTTAGGTGGTACTACGTATAACAATTTCAATATCTTTATTTTATTAGCAACTTTTAAAGTCAAAATCGTCTCATCTATTGATTAAATCTTCAAGTTTCATTGTTTAATTTCAAGTCTGTAACGAATTTAATTGCACTGCTTTTATTAGTTGTTTTTAGTATGCAATATATAACGCCTCCATCAGAGCACTTGTCATAATTTTTTATCAATACGTATCCAATATTTGATAAATTCTTATCGTTGAAATTTTATATCTAGCGCAATTATTTCACCATTTTGAATTTTTTGAAATTAATTTTAGAGTACTTCAAATTATGCTGCTCGTCGTTTTGGAGTTCGAGCTGCCATGCCTGGTTTTATTGCCAAAAAATTATGTCCTCAGTTAAAAATAATTCATGGTTCTTTCGAAAAATATCACAAAGCAAGTTCAGTGGTTGGTGCTTCACGATACCTTGATTGCATAAATGAAAAGTTGGACTGTGCTATTATCACATTATTTTATGTTCACTTTTAGGCTAGAGAGGTATTTAAAGAATATGACCCTGATCTTTGTATGGGTGGTTTGGATGAAGTTTATATGGATTTAAGTGCGTACATTCACGATCGTCTTCCTAAAGGCTCAAGTACGTAGGTAATTGCTGTGTAAATGTTAATAGTTCGTGTTTAAGGCCTTTATTTGCAGTTGAGTATGGACGAATTCGATATACAGGGGAATGTGTGTGTCGGTTACCCCTTATTACAGAAGACGAAATGGATCAGCTGGTTGATGCAGAAATTGTCGAAGAAGAATGTCTGAAATGTGAAAAAGTGCGTAAGTGTGTGCGAGATCGCATAACTTTTGGAGTAAATGTCGATGAAGTATGTTTCGTTTTTTATATTTTTCAATCATTAGTGGTGATCCGAAATTTTTTCTGAGGTGTAAACTGTTGCAGGTTGTGAGAGAAATACGATTCAGAGTGGAGCAAGCAACTGGGTTGACCTGTAGTGCAGGTATGACTAGATTTGCAGTACATGTAATTGCTCATTAATATGTTTGAGATGGTTCATATGTCAAAAGAATGGTGATCAAAGAGCATCAGTCGTTATTTGAACATTATTTTGGATGAAAATATATATTTGAACTTTTACGAAGGTAAAAACTAAACTTGAGCTCACGAATTGAATTTTTTGCTGTATTTTAATGGATATTTTCATGTTTTTCAATATTTTGTGAATTAAAAAGCTTTTCATTCTCTCCATCATTATTTTTGCTATCCGTAAAAATTTGAAAGTTATAGGTATTGCACCAAATTCAATGCTAGCAAAAGTGTGTTCGGATATTAATAAGCCAAATGGTCAGTTTCGTCTATTGAATGAAAGAGAAGCTGTTTGGAATTTCATGAAGAATCTTCCAATACGCAAAGTAGTTGAATTGATTTCAGTAAACTTGGTCTTGCAGTTTTCTTGTTGTTGAGTCGCTTATTCTCAGAAACTGTGTAGCTTTCATATATCCAGCGTTTATTGTTTTAGATTAGTGGTATTGGTCCTGTAACGGAAGCTGTTTTAAAAGGAATTGGTATGGAAACATGTGGTGATTTATATGAGCATCGTGGACTAATCAGTTTGCTTTTCTCACAGTCTAGTTACGAGCATTTTTTACGTATTGCACTGGGTATAGCTGATGTGTTCACTTCAGATCACAAGTCAAGACGGAAAAGTATTAGTTGTGAGAGAACTTTTCATCCGACTACAGATGCTAAAGTTCTTTTTGAGGTAAAAATTTCAATATGTCTTATTTATTATCTACGGAGATCCAATGATGAGTATGATCTAAATTTGTGTCCAATTTTTTATGTTTCTTTTCAAGCTCTGCAAATTTTTTAACTTTTTTTGTACAGATGCTCGAAAATTTGTGTAATGAGCTTGTTGATTCATTGACTGATCATAACATTCGAGGAGGTCGAACAGCTACTGTGAAAATGAAGTATTCTACATTCGATGTCATTACAAGAAGTTCTAGGTAATAGTGATTCAAGTTCTTTCTATTTTTCACGCACTGCATTCTTAGATTGAAGTCTTAGTTCTTAAAAAATGATGCTTTTTTATCACTCATTAAATATGGCTATGTTTTTGCAACCTTTCAGTGTAGGTTACGTAATTACTGATGCGGATCGGTTATTTTCTTTATGCTCAAAGCTTCTACGCCAGGAAATAAACTGCAATCATGATAGTGACAAACAATTACGTCTGCTCGGTGTGCGATTAGCTCGTCTAATTTTCCACGATGAAAAGGTACTAATAGTTTTCATTTTTAATCATTTTTCTAGTTTTCATGTTTAATTTTATCAGGCTGAGAAGTCAAATCCGTTGTCTTTGTTTTGGAAATCAGCTCAAACAAATCCTACAGCTATGGAATATGTTACCAGCTTATCAGATGGTAAGGATCAACCATCGACTTCGACATACAATGTTGTTGGAAGCGTGAACTATTGTAATGATGACTCAGATGTGGTGTCAAAAAAAGTACTTTGTTCAGATGACCAACAGTTTTGTCCAATTTGCAACGGGGTTTTGCCGAAAGAGCTTGGATTGATCAATCGACATATTGACGAGTGCTTAAACAGGTCAAAAATTAGTGTTTATTGTTCTAACTCGTGTAATAATTATCAGCTATTTTAAAATAAGGATTATAGAGTCTTTTACATTTAAAGCAAGTATATGATTTTAATAATTCTTTTTTTTCAATCAAAATATCGTTTCCTAAGCAGTAAGTAATACTTATTATTTTAGGCAAGCAATAAATGAACTGCGGGATATGCGAGATATTGAAAAATCAAAAAAGCAGGGCATCTCGAGTGCTAAAATTGCAAAAAAGCACACAAAAAAGAAACACGAGAACATACCTAGAAAAAATTGCTTGGAAAATTACTTTTTGAAAAAAGCAAGTAATAATTAGTTTTTATGCATTGTTTCAGGTAAACTGTCTAGTTTTTAAAGGTAAATTAGCTGTTCTTGTATTTTGTTGCCTGTTTTTTTTTTCTTTTTTTTCGGTTAACAAATTTTGATGCAACATTTCAACTTAGTTGCAACAGAATTATCCTTGATCAAAGTCGACCTCAAAAGTGTGTATGATTTCTATTTATTCATTTAAACAAATTTGATGTGTGATTTGCATTAAAATTTGAAAAAGTTATCTGTCCATATTTCCTCAGGTTGTGCTGAAATAAAGATATAATTAAATAATGTAGTACACTTGTGAAATTCCTACCGTAATTGCTGGTAATGATTTAATTTTTTGTAGACACTTGAGACCTGTTTTTTTCAGTATTTATAAATTCTGTATTTTAATGCGAACTGTCAAAGCATCAGAAGTAACGTAGATTTTAATCAAAATATACCTTCGGAGTTTAACTGGTGAGATGGTTGTTGATTTTTTTGTAGTGGTCTAAATAATATTCAGGCAATTCACATATAGGGTAGGTTTTAGGACTTATGATTGATCTGCCAAATGAAGATAGTAGGCACGAAAATATTGTAACATTTCAACATGTAGTGCTGAGTTCTGATTGCTTTTGATTTATGTAATGTAGAAGTACTGAACCGAAGAGTTTGCATTATCTTCATGGGTTGTGATCGAGAATTCTCAGTCGTGATGACTGCTTATGCTCAAGAGTATAAGTTTTCAGTTTCATTAACTTTTTTGCATTGACCATTGAAAGTGCTTGCTTTGCTGTTAATAAAATACGGTGGCGTTGTATATATCTCGGCATTCAAGAAACACGGAAAGTTAGGTATCTGATTGACAAATATATGGTTAAGAATCCGCATGCAATCAAATACGGAAGAGAAATATCTAAAACTGAAAGAAATATACAGTGGAGAAGGAAAATTGTGATGCAAGCTTATTATGTTGTAGGGAAGTAGTAGATGTTGAAAAAGCAACTATGATATATCACAGTTTCCAGTACTCTCGAATGTCTCATGCAATTAATAAATGATTATTCTTCTGTAAATCAAGCAATTCTGAATAATCAAGGAATCCAAAACGTTTCGATATTTTCATGTTCCTAACCGCAATCATGCAGTAGTTATCAAGTACGCAAACTTGTAAGTGCTATTACAGCGATTATTTTTAATTTTGATAATTTTTAAGATTTAAAAACTGCTCATTACTATTACTTTGTAAATTTTCGAGAGTTATTTCATGATTATTATTTCAATCATATTTGAATTTTTCATCAAAGAACTTTAGAACAGAAAAACTCAGTATGTAAAAAGTTCTTAATTTAATGAATTTTTAATGCAAAGTTTTCTTTCCAGGTAATCCAAAGTTAGAAATTTCGTACTTTATCGATGAGATATATTCAGAGGACAGTAAAAGAACTCAGTGCATCAAAATAGTTTTTGAACAAATATCAATCCAAAGATCCATTTCTTGAATAAAATGACTCTGCTACTTGCAGTGATTTTGAGGAACTATTAAGATAGTTAATTGATATAGTGTTTTTTTGTCTTGCAAAATACTAACTAAGTCTAATTTTATCTACTATTAGTGATTAATTAATTATGTCCTATACCACTTTTCATTCTCAATGACCATGTATAGTTCTCTTTTGATATCATTTGCATCTGATAATATTTTGCAGATTTTTAAATAGTAAAATTACTCTTATTCGCCATCGTATTTATTCATGGTGCAGTGTGAAAGGGTAATAAGCTGCTGTAAATTATTTTATAAATAATACTAAATCTCTTTTCAATAAAATAGAATTAAGAATCCAAGTAAGGTAATATGTCAAGATTTGGAAATAAGCTAAGCTGCAGTGAAAGAATTAAAAGGATTTAAAAAAAAAGATGCTTTACTGTTTTTTTTATCCTTCTCTGCTTTGCTTCTTACAGTACATTGAGTTTTAACAATGTAAATCAGCGCAAGTGCATGCATTTTTATTGGCCAAGTTCAAACGAAATTACCACAAAATAAGTAAAAAATAAATTATGATTCATAATTACTGTAAATGAAATACATCATCCATTGTTGGAATTGACTCTTTGCTATCAATTTTGTGTAAATTTGTCAATGTTATTACTTGATTATTTGCAAGTAACAAATAGCACTCTCATTAATTATTATCTCAGTAACAGTTATGGCATGCATATTAAATATATCAATGATGATATTAACAGTACTGATAGCAGCGACATTAAAATGTTCGTCATTACGAATGATTTAGTGGGCACAGTCTCCTCTTGCATGCAGTAAAGTTTTGCGAGTAGTAAGGGGAGATGGGCATTGAAGCAGTGTAACAATATTATGTCATTTATTTTTTCGAAAAATTCGCATATAAATACTGGTAAAGATCAAAAGTTATGTCCCGCTGAAAAAGAAAATCACTTTCGAGAATTTTATGTCAAAATGACGCACTGCTACAAAAGATGAATGCAAGAAACAGAAAAGAGTTAAGCTGATAAAATTATCATTGCTAGTCACTGATTAAAGTTTCTGATTAAATTATCATTACTCGTTACATGCCACTATCACATTTCTAAGATCGGATTTTTTTTTAATATTCATGAAAATTCAACAAATTTTTACGTGTACAAACGATGACCTCGCATTCCTCATCGATACTGAAAATTGAGTTCAGAATGTGAGTAGCTGAGAAATCAGTTGAAATATATATTGTGATAATACTTTCATTGTAACTTTTATTGTAGTACTGAAAACTATTCAGCAATAAACATGACTATTTAGCAATGAATGTGTGGTGGAACAGAAATATAATGGAACTAATTTTTACAGCGCTCTATCAGAGCTTCCACACGTAATGAGACAGATAACTGTCAAAAAATTAACCAAGTACAGTACATCAATTACGTGACAATACCATTCATATCCTTAGTTATTGTTCGTGATGTATGAATAGTTTATTATCGGCCCGAATTTTTGGATCAATATATTACATACCATGAAAACTCATGAGTACATTAAGACTCTACTCACGAAGTTCATTAACGCACCATTTCTGCTGTTAAAACGGTCATAAGGTTAGCATTTGCAAATCGCAACACCTGTCATTCTCTACCCACAGCAAACCAACGTATTCTTTCCCCGCCTCCTCTCCTCCATCCCAATACTCTTGCTGACATAAGAAAACACTCAACCTGTGTATACTCAACTACCAACTTCAACGAACCGATTTCATCATAAGGCAAAGTGACGAAAGTTCGCAGTAATATCGAACCCTCTGATTTCCACATATAAAAAGCCAACAGATGCAGAGCGTGAGAAGAATCCTTTCACTGAAAGAGTGCGTCCATGCCCATAAAAACTTACTCTCGACGGAAACAAAACTGTGCGGCATCATAATGACCACACTTCACTTTCCCCTATTTTTGTATAAAGACACCATAAATGTCAACACTTTTATTAGTAATCTCTGACAAATACTTTCATAATAAAAGGAAGATACATATCCAGTGAATAAGTAATTAAACCACAGAATTAGTCACAACAACAGCCCAATATGTGGCGTACACATCTCATCGAGATATAGCACGGTCAACACGGAGCTGACGTCCCATAAATTCCGCATGATTCATACTTCCGACAGCCTGTTCAGCAGCCGCTTCTGTCTCGAATTCACAGAACCCAAAACCACGAGGACGACCAGTATCGCGATCTAGAACAATTCGCACATTGGTAACAGGCCCAACCTGCCAGAAAAAATTGGCGACATCTTCTTCCCTTGCACTATACGGCAGATTTCCAACTAAAAATCAGATGTACATTAAACACCTTGTAAGGACAAAACATATTATATTTCCTCTTTACTTGTTACCACTTTCAATATATGCACACATCTACACAACACATGTAAGTGACTCGTAGATATCCGATGTATAGCCAAATATTATGAAATGAATAAACCGCACAGATAGCTTCCAAAGATCATCCGTGCATTTTTCCAGTCACAAAAGTTAAAATAAAAATCAATGGATAGCTGAAATAAACTAGCAATACAAACCGAATATTGAGCGCGACATTGTGTACTGTAGAATGCAGAACAAGAGACCTTGAAAAAAAGCGACCCGGAAACTGTAATATACAAAATTAAACGCAAAATAATAGATAATGTTGAATTACGCAATCCGATTTCTCCTAATAACTGATGAACAAAAAATACTACAGTCTTACTACTACATGCAACAAGAATCAACTAAGATATAATGCCAAGAGCCAAACGGATTCATTCACTGCAGTGACTGCTAAACAATAGTGCGAAATAAACAACTATGATGCAAATCAACTTCGCTGCAGTTACCTGAATTTAGGTGAAGCAATCCATTAAGATTGTAATGACATGGTCAGCCCGGAGCCAAGCCAGCTTTACTTCAGTGACCTGAGGTGAGTTATGAGCCAAGTTAAGGTGCCGAGTCAGCGGCAACTGTAGCATGCAGAGGGACGACCGACAACGGCTAACCTAAATGTAATGTCATCATCAGTCCAATCGCCATTGCTAAACCGATCGAACCGTGGAATGAGACAACCCTGATTTGTTGACAAATTACCTTCTCTAATGCCCGTTTATTTCACTACTTCAATTACAGTCACTACAGTTTAAATGCGAATCACGTAAGCAAGAACCCTATATAGAAGTGGACAATATATCCTAGATCTATAGCATAAATTCATAGTATTGCGTAAACCTATTGCTACTGATCAGCGTAAAAAGATTAAACAATCAAACCATAATAAACAGTCTTAAATCATATTTGCACTTAATACGTTTCGTCACACATCGACTTGCTTATTAACAATAAGACAAGAACTTGAACTACACACTCTCTCTTTTTTCTGGAGCAAAATGCAAACTACTCACTCCACCCGCACATCACGTACAACTCAACTCAACAGTACCAATATAACAAGCAACCATACCCCAAGCTCACATACTAGGCGAATGATGGGTCTGTGTGATCTGGTACTCTTGCTGCCACTGTCGTAACTGCACTGCCACCTGAAAAAATCAATTTGCAGCAGTAACAATAGATGCCACGCCTATCAGACAGCGATGACGATCACGAGACTCACTTGCAAGTGTCTTGGATGCGAGTAGTCCAGATACACATACAAGCAAATGCACGCGCGTGCATGCTGCGCGCGCGCGTGCTTACTTGCATTAAGACATATATATGCACATTTCTGTGCGCACACGTTTACTTTTGGGTATGTTAGGCTATGCATGCGTGCGCAGTGTGTACACGCATTGTTTTCTAACATTCAAATACGTCTTGCACTCTACGGCTTAGGTTAAGTCTTACTGTATGTAAATCTCCGGGTAGTAGTGGGTATCTGTTCATCTACCTCTTTAGCTTCTATCATTCCATATTCAAACACTGCACTAATTTCGAATGTTAACTAGTAAGTAGACTTAGAAGCAAAGTGCTGAGACATACCTTGCACCAGAACTTATACCTATAATTTGGTCACGTTAACTGCAACAGCATTTAACACATCCCGCTATGAAACTCGGTACTGATTCGTTCTAGACATTGATAAGGACTTTGCACTCATTTCTACGTCCCAGTAACGTCAGTTCGCAATGTTTTCCGGACGTTTTGTTCCTTCAGTTTGTATTACTTTATGTTACTTACGTAGTATACTAGCTAATTCAGCTGACTGATACACCTATTCCTTTCTGAACTTATGTGTTTCAGTCTACTGGACACTTTTCCAATATTTATTATTTTACACCACATCAGTTGCAGTGCATTAATAATAATAAATAGATTACATGAAGACGCTTTTAAAACAGTTTCGTAGGTTATTTATGGACTTCATACGAAATCATGAACACATGTATTAAAATTAATATGCAATGTTGGCAGTGTCTTTAATTCTAACATGTTTTATATACACTTAGATTAATGTGTTAAGCCACAATAACACGAAAATCATGTTCTTATACAGCACATTTCTATAGTATACAACAGATTTTTTCTTTAACACTGCAACAAATCATTCAGAAGATCAATTCGTTAAAAAAAAAAATTTTTTAGCTAGTTCCATCTCTTTTATTAGTTGTGATATAAATCAAGCTGGCACTGCAGTAATTACTAACGAAGTCATAGAAAATAAGTTGTGATGGGGAATCTGACTTAACTAGCATACTTTTGATCTAGCTAATCCTCTGAGTTAATTGCTTCAGCGTTGAATAATCAGGAGTTACTGGGTTTACTTCTCACTCTGAATCCTATTCGATATACTAACTTTTAAACGACAGTAGAATGTTAATTTCAGGACATCTTGTTTTGCTTGTTCGAATTTATTACTTTCAATATTATTCTTGAATTCATTTTCGAGCATATAAATTTTTTTTTCCACTTCATTTGACAGAATTGTTAGTTCTATAGGATTGTCCGTCGTAATTATCTGTTCATTGATTTCCATCATTTCCATTAAAAAATCAGTGTTACTCACGGTATCTAGAAATTATATGAACTAGGTATATGTTCAATAAACCAGAAACAAGTTTAGTGAGGTTACAATATTATTCTTCATTACAGTGCTCAAAATTCGTAACAAAAGAACTATTAGCCAATCAACCTAATTCTAAGAAACTTAAACATTACCTCCATCACTGATTCGTTCTCCCTTTAAAGTGAGCATATATTTGGCCCGATCCAAAGGTACTATTAGCGTTTTGTAAGCTTTATTCAGAGACTGTGAGCATTCTTTAGATATTTCTTTCTCCCTCTGAAAATTTGAATAAGGGACGTTGGAATGAAGCGTGATTTACAGATTAATCTTCTAACTTGAGACTTTTCGGCTTAGATTAGTGAAGTGATTAATTAAGTCTTCTTTCATATTAATCATCTAGTTTATTTGAAATTATCGTGATCTGATGGTGACGTGTTTCCATATAGTTTTGTAGCTTCATAGTTATGCTGATTTTCAGGGTTATACTCTCGTGTGTTCCTGCTTCTCATTCTCCATCTCACTCCATCAGAAGATATTAGAAACGAAAGCGGAACAGAGAGAGAGAACCAAGTTATTAATCGCTTTATTCGAAAAGCCAGATTGAACATTCAATTCAAGGAAGCAGCAAAACAGCTGGCCATACATGATAGTTGGATAGCTGCATGCTGTTTCGCAGAGAGGTTTATGATTAAAAATTTCCAGATTCAACATAGCAATTCACTGCAAAAACACTAGTTTTTGCTATTTTTGGTGTTAGATCTCACATTTTTTTTAAATATATTAAACCGGTATTTGAAGAATCCACCGAACACGCAGACTGGATGCAACAAACAAAACATGACTGCATCCTAAACCGAGTCCTAACTAGACTATGTTCGATATGTTAATGACTCTCATTCACCACAGAATTCAAGACTTCTTGTAAGAGCGACGACAACTGTTACAGTAGCCAGTTTTTTGCTGAGAGAAATCTCAGCTGCATCTGACAGGCTAGAAATGCTGCTCGCTTTCAATGAAGAACAATAATCCGATATTCACTACTATGCTATCTCCCTCTCGCAAGCATCTTAATTTCAAGGCTTACCAATACATGAGTGGTTCCTACGTGCGAGATGGAAATACCATATAGTTCTGCCTCTCACGTGCATTAGTCCCAGAAAATACAGAATTGGCGTAAGATTATCTACGCAAACTTGTTTAACGACACCAAATTTCTTATTATTTAAATCATTAAGCAAAAAACAAAAAAACATCGCACTAGCGAAATTTCAAACTGATACTCCCAGATTTGACACGGCAATTCACTGCAAAAACATTGATTTCTGTTAATGCCAATGTCAAATCGCAATATCTTTGTATATTATTATAATTTAAGAACCTGTATTTGAAAATTCCACCCTGATTTCTTTTCTGTTTTGGGAGCAGCATACAAATAACTGCTTCCTGGACCGAATTTCAACTCGACTTCATGCTAAATACAGAGTCACTCGACACTCTGATTTATCAAACTTAAAACTTTATGGGAGCGACAAAACAACTAAATTACTGCTACTTTTCTAACAGACGAAATTCTTAACTACATATGACGAAGAAACACACTGCACCGAGGATACTATGCCATCATTACTCCATCACATACATTACCAAGTATCACTATCAAATAACTGGTTACTTATAACGAACAAGATAGAAGATCATGGAGATTCTATTAACTTTCTTACTCCATAAGCATATCAGCTATTAATTTTCGGTTGGCCAAAAAGTCAACTCAAAGTTCATCTTATCGCATTGGCTGGCTCAGTACAAGAACAAATTCATCACATTTACATTATATAAATCACTCACAGTGCAGTCGATTTATTAGCAAGAAGAATATATACCTCAGTTTAAATTCAGTCTTCATAGCAGTTTGGTTGACGCTTTGGTAATCATTTATTAATTATGAAAGCTAGCTCTCAAAAATGTTTCGACTTAGCATTTTCTTCCCCTTTTGTATGATCAGAAATATCTCTTATTTTGTATGAGGCACGAGGTACAAAAGTAAGAGTAATGATGTATCTATATACGACACAGCTATCACCATTAAGTTAAACTGAGGTAGCAAAATTTCAGGCAAACACTATTCAGCATTTCAAGCCAGTTGTCTTCGACATGCAATTCATATCTGACAAGAAGAATTTCGATCTTATGTCAATTAGTTCTAACATACAAATTAATATTACGCTGATAATTGTACATATTCTACTTTGTTCTTTACCATTATTTATTAAATACATTAAATAGTAGTGGATAACTGTAACCCTTAAAAACATATGTGTAATTATTTCATGTTAACTGTAACTATGTTGGTTTTCTGATCATAAAATTCTTTCTTTAGCTCTCGTACATCAACATACATGTGGCAGATACTTCTTTTTCTTTCGCAGTAAATTACTCTTATAGATACTTCAAAAATTGGTAAACGAACAAAAAACCTTGTAGAGTAGGAACTTGCACTCGACACTCTGATTTATCAAACTTAAAATTTTATGGGAGCGACAAAACAACTAAATAACTGCTAGCTTTCTAATAGAGAAGATTCTAACTACATGTGACGAGAAAGAAACACACAGCACCGAGGATACTACGCCATCATTCTTCCATCACACATATTCCCAAATATTTGGATACTTATTGCACAAGTGAATTTTCATATATGATGAAACCTCTTAAAATGCACAAGTCTTGATTGTAGTGAGACGCAAAATGTTTCAGAATAAAGGGTGATGATTGCGTTACACAAGAAAATTGCACAAGTAAAAAGAATATAAATAGATATATGGAGTTTAGCCACATGTAGTGAAATACTGAACAGAATTTGAACATACTTGTGAAGAATTTGAGAATTTGTCTGGATGGACATTTGATTGTAGCCTGTGAAAATTTTTTTTCAACAACGAAATATCAACGTCGAAATGAGGATGCATTCCTAAATAATCAAAATAGTTCTCGAATTCAACTGGCTGAATGGTGGAACAGACTGGACAGAAGAACTTCTCCTGTAATAAGTAAACAAATTTTACAAATATCTCCACAATTTTTTAAATAAAAGGTCTTTGTCTTGAGACTTTTTACAATTAGAAAACTCGAAGATTTCTCATCAAAAGGAAAGCATGTGCAATGATGACTAAATCTGAAATAAATATATGCCACTTAACATCTCTAAATAATGAGGATTTTCATCCAAAAAAGAAGTCAAGATAGTATAAAAATACATTAGATAATGACTGCCCAAGTATTTGATTTTTCTTAGCACTGGACTGCTCTTCAAATATTACCAAAATATCCATTCACAAACTCTTAATAGATTCCAAATCTACTTAAGACTTACCTTCAAGCAGTCAATAATTCTATGGCATTTCCAGCAGTTCAGGTCTTCAATGGATGTTTTCAGTTTACTGAAAGTACTTGAAAAGTAAGACAAGAATTAAAAATTAAGCAGAATTTGCATGTTAATCGACAAGCAGATACACAAAGACGTTTCAAGGTAAGAAGATACCAGAAACTGCGTGAGATAAAAGTCAATTTTGATTGCATTGAGCATACATATACAGCCTTGGAAAGCTCAAATATCTTGGTTGCAAAATCGTGTTTAAAAAGTTCTGCGTCACTGAAACACACCAAATCCCTTATATATATATGTTATTTGAAAATATATATATTTTCAAATAACCGACCCAACACACAACTTAAATGCGAGCAATGGTGTCGGCACAGGCATCTGGCTTTGAGTATAATGAAACTATTGTATATTAATGCTTAGAACATAATATAAGGCAGTCTCTTACACCGACCAAAAGATGAATTTAAAACATGTTTAACCTGCTATTTATCGGCGTGTAGAAAATGGTAGTTGCGAATAACTTTTTAAAATTTTATTCCTCAGTTCGCATATCAATGAACATATCATGCAAATGAGAATTATATCAATGCAAAAAAATCTTCAGAAAATATTAAAAAACCGAAACAAACGCTCAATGAATCATATTAAAAGATGCATAATGCAAAGTTCATGGCTATCTCAGAGATCAGCAAAAAAATAGAACTGAGAAAGTTACTTATTTGCATAATTAACATACATTGGTTGGGAAGGTGTAATTTTAAAATTGTTTAGACCCAGACGAGCTGCAGTTGCTTCTGCTTCTGTTTCAAATTCAACAAATGCAATGTCTGGCCTGTTCGGAAT